ATTATCTATAGACTGTGTCAGCCAGGTTTCTGTGACTGCGATTATGTCTGGCTCTGTAGAGTCAATCTGTTCACCTAGTTCCGAAAGCTTATTGAGCAAGCTTTGGGCATTAGTGTAACAGATCCATAGCCTATTTAAGTGGCTTCGTGTTTCACCCAGAGTGGCTTCGCGATCATTCTCTGACGAAGCCTCACAACCCGAAAATTTACAATTTTCAGGTCCTTTTCGCCAGCGTCTAACCTCATTTGTAGTTCTTTTTCGGCTTCCCGTCTTTTTAAACGGTCTGCCAACGGCAAGTCCTTTCGGATAAAAACTCCCGAACCCTTCAATTTACGTCCATTCTGTAAAATTAAGTCCCTTTCATTCGAAGATTTGAAAACTACTTTAAGCAGTCTAGATTGATTAGGCTTCAAGTTCGCTAAACTTACTAGTCTATACACCTTTAGCAAGGTGACTCCGGAGATATTTTGAGGCATAAGTTGATTATGTAGCTGTTTTATCAGGACAATGTCATGCTTTTGGTTCGGAGCTTTCTCTCTCCTTGATCCTATGAAAAATGACTGATCTGTTACTGTGATCAGCCTTCGGTTTTTCGACTACTTTTGTGGGGGCAGGGTTCCCTTTTATATCGTTTTACTGTTTCTTCCTCACAACCTGTACCCATTCGTCAACGTTGCTTGGAGAAGCGACCACAGTCGCGTCAAACATACTGTGGGATTCCGGAGGGTTTTCGATGACTTGGGAGGTCAGGTTTGGTGTCCCTTTAGAAACTGATCGAGCCTTGAGTTTGCGGCTTCTATGTGTTTCTTTCTGGATACCATTTTGAGGACGTGGGACAGAAAGAACATTTTTTCCTTGGGTTTTTTGTGCGGACAGAACTCTTTGAGGACTGTTCTCCCTCCTTTGGTCGGTGCGAGTCATCTGCTTTTGAACTCACTTTAGTTTGCCTCACGCCAATTTGCGTGTCAACGGAGCGATTACTTGATGATGTGTCGCAACCACTCTTGCCAAAACATTTTTTTAGCAGCACTTACCAATGAGATGGCCTCGGTTAGCAAGCTGTTAGCCATAAAAAGGAGCTGGAGGGCTATGGTCAGAGAGTAAAAGGGTAAGTGATTATTATTGCTGTTTTCAATTTTCATAGATCAAAGTTTGGTGGTCGCAAGGCCATGTTTCGTTCACGGTATGCTGTGAACCGGTTCGTCATATCGAAAAGACTTTATCGCACTCTTCGCAGTAAAATTCACACACTCAGTACACTTTTCTGACAGACGAAGGTGCAGGTCCCATTAAGGCAATTGATAGATCAAGTTGATGAATTAATACGCATGGGGCGTCTGGCTACAGTTTCCGCACTTGGTAAGTCCACTGGTTCTCTGGAAACCAAAATCTAAGTATTTATAAATGCATCTATCAAGCTAATACTCGTAATATCTATTTCAGATAATCAATGAACACAATTCTCGTCATGTGCATCTGCTGCGTTGCCAGTTTTTGTTAATACCTCATTAAACAAAAGTATTGTATTCACTAAATACAGAGTTTCTTGTTATATTTGGTATAAGGGGGTGAAAACATTTAATGGGTCTGTAGTTGTGTTTCGACGAGCGCGTACCCTCACGATTCTAGTGACCCGTCAGTGTAGCTAAGGTATTGATTGGAAATCCGACAGCATCCCAATAAACAACTATGGCTTAAACGGGTACACATAAACGTACTACTGCCACACATCATGGCGGCTAAAATAGGTTATAAGCAGGCCCGGACTTTGGTGTTTCCCGTTGCCTGCTTATCATATGGTATTTCAACCAGAAACTAAGATTACAGGCAGGGGCTGTTGAGATGTGTAACTATGTCAACTGTCTTAACTTGAAATTACTACATATCAACTAGGTGCTGATAGGCTCGCGTTTCACCAGTTTCTTTCAACGGTTAACTAGATAAAACGAAAGAGCATCAATTCTATAGATTTATTCACGAACTTTAATTAACAATGGGATATGAAACAACTATTTACACCAGGTTCCAAAAAACATTGTAGCATTGGTAAAGTAAAGCTGCAGTAGTTGTTTCTTTTCAAACGACAGGGTATAAGAAGTAACTCCAAAACACTGGAAGTGGTTGTGAGACTAAAGTGGACGTCCGATATGCTTTTAATAATCTGCTGTTACTTGGGTCTCGCATAAATTTTCATAGGGCCATAGTTATAAAGTTGAATGATCTTGTACGATCTGTGACGGCTCATTCCTTTCACATTCTAAATAAAAGATAGTAATGAATTTAGTCAAGAATGTTGAAAAGGTAAATAAACAAATTACGTGTTTCTAAGGAAAGAATTTATGCAGCTGTGATTTACCTCGACTTCATAAATATCAGATCACACCAGCTAATAAAACTTGTGCAAAGTACAGCATCGCACAGCTTTTATTATTTTGCTCCCACTTAAGTATTCCCATGCATCTGAGTCCGGTTTTACAGGAAGATATACAAGTTGATTTAGTATCTGGCAAACTAAAAGTTCCAGTTGTCAAAGACTGTTAACGCTTGTCCTCAGCCAGCAGTATTTAAGTAAGACAGAACACTCCTCATCTAAGACTGTATACTGCTGTTTTGCAGCCAAATAAAAGCTCAGACACTTAGCTATCCTGCTACCGATGTTATTGCTGGGGAAATCGTTTAATGACAGTGGTCTTGAAACATGGACAGTATTAGACGTACTGTCTAGAAATAAACACCAAACGTACTTAAAACTATCAAATAATGTATGATAGCAACAGTACCAAAGGCCTTTTTTCCCTATTTTTAATCAGACTGTTTTGAATCAGTATACAAATTAGAAACAGGCAGCTTTACTTAATAAACTGATCTGTTTCGTTACAGGCTTCAAGCAATATACTTAAGTATACCATAATTCTTTCGACTAAACTGAATTATACGACAACCAAGAATACTAAACTAAGCAAGTGTCATAATTATTGTTTCATTTGCACAGACATGTTGCTAAAAGTAGTTGAATGGACATAATTCAGCCGATAAAACCAAAACACGAAATATAGGCCGGTCGAACATACCTAACAGAAGACAAAGGATATATATATATATATATATATAGCTTTCAGACTGATGACAGTCAGTTGTTCATTAAAACATAATTCACAGTACAACAAACCTTCCTTTGGTAACATTATGCACTGACGGTCTATCTGGAAACAATCAACTATGAGATTAAACTCACTATGACTTGGGATATCACCTCAGAGTGCAATGAATGTACAGTGTAACGTAGTCAGACGTGGCGAATAAATATGATGACCAGAGCAAAATTAACAACATAATCTAGTTATTTAATTAAAAATACATTATGAAATGAGAAAATCTGTGGTTACTTGAACGCACAGATGACTCTGGGCGATACATTAAGTTTACGTGGTTGCGTTGCGGATAAATTCACCCTTATTATTCTCATCAAGTAAGGGAAATACATTGATTGAGGTGAACTCAGTAAAATTCTATATTTCAGGTGAAAGAGGACACTTGTTTTCGGCCAGTAAATTCAATTCACTTTGACGTTATAGATACTTAGTGTTAATAAGCCATCGAACTTTTACACTACTGCTCATCATCAAAAACTTTTCGTTATTGACGCATCTTTAGTAAAAGGAAACTTAGAGAGATTTACGACCATTCTGGATTATTAAAAGACATCAAGCACTCATTCTCATGATTGAACCAGGATTCCAGAAGATTGGAAATCTTCAAATACAGACACAGTCAGTTTAATTTATTATAAAGTCATTGTGACTTAGTATCAAAATACAAATGAGTTGCGTGCTTTAGCAGAAAAAATGCTACATGACAAAGCTGTTGTTGATTTTCTTAGAGGATCTGGAATCAGATCTGGGTGATGCGGCAAGCAGATTGCTAATGCGATGGCCTTAAATCTCAACAACAGGTCACAATTTACAACCGTTACTGGCAATATGCAAGGAGATAAAATATTATGAGAACGAAATATTTGGAAAGCGGTAGCTTTTGGAATTATACTACGGATTATTAACATATGTATATTTTTTTTGTGTAATTATTAACTAACCAGATTTTCATATGTCTCTACTCGATGTATTATGAGCATTTCTTCGATCCATTGACTATAAATATGAGTTTTACCATTCGTTATTTGTTGAAAGTTGATTAATCACTTTTTTACATACTTTGCTATTTACGTACAAATTATGAACCTCAACTAGGGGTTTGTTGTGGTCAGATGATTAACATCCCTACTTGTGGATGAAGTATAGGGACCGTTCTCTGTTACTTTGATATGTTGTTGGAACTAAATACTGAGATGCAAAAAAGGCGTGCATTCTTATCCAACGGACATTTCAGCTGCCTCGTGACTAATTATTTTTAGCTGTCGTCTGCCGAAACGTATAACTGGATAAAGCTTGGGACGTTAGTCTGCAGATAGATTGAGGTACAGACAAGAAAATTCTGGGAACATAACAGAAAAGATTTCCCGCTTAACCTATGGTTATTAGAAAGAGAATACTACTTGTAGAAAATGTATATGAGCTACTCACCGCTGACAGGAACTGTGTAAAGAGTAAGTAAGTCTCCTTTAAATAACTAAGGAGTCACTTAAGGGTTTCATTTTATTAGACCACCCGTGTGTAAAGCCGTGCGACCATTTTAACAGTTAGAACTACAAAATTGTGGTGATACCTATCGAAAGTGATGATGACGACACCTAACTTTTGTTGTGGGAGAAATGACGTCTAACTTATATCCGCAGGTACTGAGGAGTAGTACTCTATATTGTTAGTGCTCTATCAATTCGCCTATTATTTATGTTTTTGACATTCAGATTCAGAAAGATCAGAACAACAAATACGATCTTCCGTATCAAAAAATGTTTTCTTCCTTACCATATACAGAACCTACAGGTTAAATTGTTCATTACTTCTGCACACAATTGTATTGAGTTTTGAAGAGCGCTCAACATACATTCAAGGTCATCGTCAACTCAACTAGTCGTGCCATGTGTGTGTGTAAGGCTTGTTATTCTCTAAAGTTCTTTGCTAGGTTTAGAAGCTTTCAAAGATTCCCTCAAGTATCACTTCCCTGGGTTAAATGAAGATAGTCTTAAGTATGTCTGACACTAATTTTATGTCATTTTTTCAGTTTGGCACTGAAGGGTATCGCTGGAAAAGACGACCTCCAAGTAAGTACCCAGCTTTTCACACCCTAAGAAGTAGACTTATAATTGGGTTAGGTTTGCCACAGCCTATCTCCAACCAGAGTGTGATTTTGTCTGGGCTGGAAAGGAGATTGACAAAGCACTTGTTAATTCCACGTATATCAACGGCAGTGAGTTTTCCTTATCCGATTTAGCTATTTGGGCTTTTCTAGAAAGTAAGTTCACGGAACAATTTTTCTGCTTTGTTTTATACGTACTATGGCACCCTAGTCTCTAATTCTTTAGCTGTGCTTCGTTATATTATTGCAGTATTACTAGGTGGTTACGGAATAAAATGCGAATTTCGTATGTAATTGGTAAATGACGTTACCTTCAAGAAGTACTGCGAGTGGTAGCCCTGTTGAGAAAACACCAGTTTTATACACTAGTAGTGCTGATGGGACTTTCTAAATAGTATAAGATTTTTAAAACTCATAAGAACAATTCCGTCGCCTTCGTGTATAAGTCGACGGTCATTATTATTGCTAACGAACACACGACTATGCAACCAAAAACTTTCCTTCACTAGTTCTGTCAGTAGCTGTGTCATTAAGCCCCACCTGTCGGAAAGTCATAGTTTGAGCCTCCCTGTAAAACCATTTACAGTAGAGAGTATTTATATTCTAAACAAGTACGACAAACCTGAACCGTGACGATTGTATGTTTTTGTGCGAATATTCTCTGTCAGTAAGAGGTTATATAATTGGTTTCTCTATAGTCTACCTAGTGGCCTTGATTTGTACTTAGTAGTTTAAGAATGAGATTATCGATATGTTTACAAAAGGCTCATGCATTGTTAATGTCTATGAAACAAGCGTTTAAGCTGTATCCATTTTCTCCTATAAAATTCAATGCATTTTGTAGAAGCAGTAACTTCTTAATTGAAATGTTTGTTAAATGCTGACCTAATTAGACGGAGCTTCGTGTTTTTGGTCATATATCTTTGGAGCGTTGTGTGAGTAATACTAAGATTAGGCATATCCTGCTTTTCAGAAACGCTAAATCTTCCGATAAAGCTGTAATCCGTCATCAGCTCTAATTAAGATAAGCCAACCACACCATGACTTCATCTACTTTGACGTCCCATACCATCTAGCACGCTAGTTGGTTGACGAAAAGCAATAAAAAGTCAAACGCTAGGATTTGGTGTATGATATCGTTGACTTATTATTATTATTATTATTATAAGCTTTATTCAACATTATATTTGTGGTACACTATTGAATTCTCAGCATAAAGTATTTCAACAAGTTTCTTTTTCTTATATCTTGATCGATCCTGACGATAAATACTGAGTGATGGCCAGTTAGATGTTAGGAGTTCGATAATCGACATCTGAATAATGTTCATTCGTTTCAATGCATATTGCAAGCCACCATGATGTCTCTGGTTGTACCTTTTTGTAATCCCTACAGCGAAAGGTTGTAAACTTTTCGTAAACGCGCCTGAATAGGTTGTGAGCTCAATAGACATAATAGTGTGTTAAAACAAACAAGAAAACAGATAACTTGACGAAATATCTAGATGGGAGGAACAGGTAGCCCAGATATTCAAGCAGGCCGCGTTGTTGGTCTAAGCTATTATGTGAGGCTCAGACTTTTTATTTAAGGTCCGCGAATTAGTTGTAACCCATTGTTGAAGAATTTAGGTGATCTGGCTCAAATTCGATCACAGTGACATGAATGGATTCATTGTTCTTATTCCCTTGGATTTTGGGCTTCAATGTCGTTTTTACTCTTCACTATCAGTTTTTTTAGTCCCAAAACCTATTGTGAGTTCATAGTTACTTCTAACAAAGACAAAACACCAAAAAGGATTGGACCACTTCTAACCATATTTTGTGTTCAGTTTTTCATTACTGATGGTGTTAATATGACCTCACTTTGTAGTCAATTTTCTGTATCAATGTGACATGATAACACAAGTGAATGCATATTGTCGGCGGCTTTAATTTGTAATTAAGTGATTAAGATAGTGATATGTTTCCATACATATAATCAGCTTTCTGCTCTTTTAAGTATTTCGTTATGATATAGGCTTAGGCTTGTTAATTAGTAACAAACTTGCTCGTTTGTTGCAAACTTAAATGTAGGGAGTATTATTACTGGAATAAATATTTAGTCTGGTTTTTTATTTTTTGAATTTTAAAGTCAATCCGGATTGGCACAAGCTCAATGAGTCGTACAAAACTGATAGCTCTGTAAAGTCGTTTGCTAATCTTAAACAATACTATGATCGTCTTGTAACCTTACCATCAGTTCGCAAACTTAAAACGGAAATCTATGAATCACGGCTCCAGCCAAAAAGCGTTTCATTTAGTTCAGAGCCATCTAGTAATACTGTTGGTAAAACTCATGCGTCTGATATGCTATTTGAAAAGGGAGGAAAGTTCGGTGAACTCCCTGGTGCGAAAGTTGGGGAAGTAGTTGTTCGTTTCCCTCCGGAAGCTAGTGGATATTTACATATTGGACATGCCAAAGCAGCGCTTCTAAATCAACACTATAGAGTAAGAAATTCTGTTTATTGTTTATTTTTCAAAAGATTGTTTAGCTGAAAGGAATATTAACCCAGTTATATAGATAATTTATTCTCGAATGCAAGCTTTTAGTTCTCTAATAACGAAACTTAGTATTATTTAGAATCAATAAGCCGGAAAAGTCAAGTGACAATTTTTACCTTTTTATAAGAACTTTCTTAGGATTGCTACTATCTGCTTCACTCAACAATTTTCGTAACATCTCTTTTTACGTTTTGATCCAATAACCCACCTTTAGCATTCATCATTTGTTTGACTTAGTAATTAGTTTATGTCTTCAAGCCCTTATCACTTAACTCAACGTTATCACTAACCCTCACAATATCCACTCGATCATAGCTGTCTTCGAAGCATTGCTCGTATATCCTGGGGCCACCAAGTAAGTAATGTAGTTGCTAGGAAACGGGTACCATTTAAGGATGGCAAATCAATTGAAGTAGTGAAACTTCATGGCTGGGACATGTGTTACGTATGCCCAACGACCGACTGCCCCCCACGTGCGATGTTTTATGGTGTAGGAGTAGGTTGGAAGAAAGCTAGGGGCGGCCAGACCAATACATGGCACAAATCCATGAAGTCACTGACAAGTGGACTGAACCATGTTGGTAGATGTAGACTACCTGGTCGGGGTCCGCGAGACGATAGCAACCGATGGTTAGAAACCTTAAGTGACATGGCTTAAAATCGTTTGCAGTGGCGCAGGTGCATCCACTCTCTGTGTTCTCTCAAACTCTAATCTTCTGTATTCTTCATGTCTTTTATTTTTCCAAATCCATTCCACTGGACTATACTCCTTAAATAACATCTTCAAACTCTAATGTTTCCGATAATTGCTTATACTTTTACTACCTCTACAACTACGGGATTAGAATCGACAACTTCATCTCGGTGATAATGTGGTATGGCAACTCGAACTGATGTACGTACGTACGAAGTTCTACGTTGTTACTGACTGATTCACTGACTCACAATAGTCATAGTTCTATAACCTTATCAAATGTTGGGGTATATACTGATGTAATGTAAGGTTCTAGTGTATCTTCTGTGTATGTACTTTTATTGTTTTCTTTCCAGGATATTTTCAAAGGTCGTTTGATATTACGTTTTGATGATACTAATCCTGATAAAGAAAAAGAATACTTTGAAAAGTCGATTCTTTCAGATCTTCCTCGAATCGGTGTCACATGGGATACCATATCGTCAACTTCTGATCATTTTGACGAGATGTTAAAACTGTGTGAACAACTAATCAAGGAAGGCAAAGCATATGTTGATAACACAGACATGGAAACTATTCGTGTACAAAGGGAAGCACGCCAAATGTCTGCTTGTAGAGATAATTGTAAGAGTAATCTCTTTGAATTCGTTTAAAGTCTTTGTAAAAGTATATTGCCAAAATTGTTTCCAGCAATCTAGTTTCATACATAGTAGTAGTACCTATGCAAACATCAGCTAAAGTTTTGTTTACTAACAGTCTTTATAACTGATTTACTAGGTAATCTAACTTTTTTGGTCAAGTTTCATTTTTCTGATTATTGACTACATTAAATTTCGTTTTCACATAAAGATCAATTTCAATGTAATAAAACAGGTTAAACGTAGTATTGTAAATTTGGACGACAACTTAGGTGTACCGTCACGTAGTGCATGTGGGTAATTTCCATTGGCTAGTTTCCACCATTGTTTTCTACTTCCATTAAATTAGTTTTATGTAGAATCAGTTTGCTGAATTATTTTCTTGTTGTATTCTTAAATGTGTGTAGCTTCGAAAAAGTCGGTGATACACATTTCACTATACACCATTCACCATAATTTATTCCATGTAAAAATCGATTTCAACTGTGCATAATAATTTGTACTGTTCGATTTAAAATAATTAGTCTCATGTTGAGAACGTTCATTTGAAAAGACTATTGTTTCTCATTTAAGGTATTTTGTCTTCGAGTACCACTCATCGTATGTAAATTAGGAGTAAATAAGCACTGCCACTCAAACACACAAATAGGGAAAACATGACCTGCGTATTTAGTAAGTCTTAGTTCCTTTTTCTAGGTATTTCAGTCTCTTATATCCAGTCTGATCTTCGTAACTTATGATTCATGTGATTAACTACTGGACTACTTTTCTGATTGATATCTGCCGGTTTGGTTTAGTTAGCCATAGCTCAATCTAAGTTTTAAAAATTTTACTTTCTGTTCTGTAATTTATCACTTAGCTATCGAACAAAATTTGGCTTGGTGGGAAGAAATGAAAAAGGGAACGGAACAAGGACTAAAATGTTGTGTACGTGCTAAAATTGATATGTCTTCTAATAACGGTGCTTTACGTGATCCTACAATATATCGTTGTAAAATAGAACCACATGTTCGGACAGGTTCTAAATATAAGTAAGTTAATATGTAAACGTGTCTACGTCACTTTTAAAATACGGTTTTCTATATTTTTGTCTTAAGTGTAGTGTTGCTTTCAGTAAGCATTTCATCATAGTATAAAATAATTCTCATCTGGTGGTTATATATTTAAAAAATTTTCTATTTCGTAGACAGTGCACTTGTACACATATTGACTATCAATTTATATGTAGTCTGTGTGATATCGAACGACGTTACCATCTTTCCTGGGACTATAATGTGTAAGATAAGTAATCAGTATAAGGAATGTAATTATTCAATACTAATGAGAGTATAAAGCGTTTTTCATTATTGTTAGATTTACGACTGGAACTACTGTTGTGATCTATTACGGTTGACAAAAAGGATAAATATTATAAAGCATGGACTAATCCCTCACAACAGTTGAAATGGTCATTTTCCTTTAGAGCCATTTAGCTTTTATCAGGGCCCATAATAACATAATGTTTGTTTTTAAAATTTGTTTCATGTATTAAAACATTCAGAGAATACTTTATTATCACATTTATTTGAAGAAAATAGATTAGTGAAAGTGATTGTATGGTATTGTTTGTGTATATGGAAATTATTTGTCGAGAATCGAATTTCTTTCAGTATTTAATGCTAAAGATTTTCAATAAGTTCAGTATTTCAGATTTTAGAATGAAAGATGGCTATCCTAATGAAAGTAATATAGTTTTCCTTAGGAAACAATCTTTAAATCACATGTTGATAATCATCACAGAAAAAACGGATAAAATATTTTATTGTTAACTGTTATTCTTTCCTTCAAAAGAGTGTATCCGTTGTATGATTTTGCTTGCCCAATAGTGGATAGTATTGAAGGCGTAACCCACGCTTTACGAACATCTGAATATAATGACAGAAATGAACAGTACGCATGGATATGTAAAAGTTTAGGTAAGCGAACAACTTTTTTTCTAAAAAAAACTGATAAAACTTCTCTTGCTCATTGAAAAATTTTATCCCCTTCAAAAGACTTTCAATTTATACCAATACACAGTTTGTATTTTTATTTTCATTGCTCAAATCATCTATAGAAGTCTTCAAAACTTGGGCTTAATGTCATTGAACCGAGTCGTCTAGATACAAAAGAAAGTTTTTTAGACGATTAATAAAAGCTAGATTTTCATGATAAATTCGATTTATAACCACAATACCGTAAATTTTTTCGTAAAAAAGGACTTTGAGGTTAGAAAGAAAGTAGGGTTAGCAAACCAAAACCATGACGTTGATCTATGAAGTCATTGATCTGAATTATGTTGATAAATATGAACTACTCCGTTAGAGTCAGTGATTGTCGTGAACACTGGGTCAATTGACTGAGAAGCAACCGCAACGGCACAGATGCATTCACTCCCTAATTATGTGTTTCAAAATTGTTTTATGCTCTTTACTCATTCTTCCTGGAATCGTATTTCGTGTCTAATTTTATGTGTACTATCATCGATAATTTCATTTCTTTTAACTGATGTAGTGCAGTAACATAGTGATACATAAGCTTATGCCGGGTCCAACGTTGATTATTGCCGATTGATCAACTGACTAACATTGTGATAATGATTTGATTCGATTAATTATTTGAACCGGTATAGCATAATTTCATGCCAGTTTGTGTCGTAATTACTTAAGTAGTACTATTTTATGTAACTATTGGATAAATCAATATGGAAGCAAATTATAGACTGGAATTGCATATTAAAAATCAAAAACAAAACAATATGCAACCTAGTGTTGAAGTAGTTCATATAATGACTAATTATAGCAGTGACCTTCATTATATCTGGCAAACAACCACTTTCGTGATGTAATTTGCTGTAGCGTCAGAGTATCACACATCGTATTGTTCCATAAGTTTGTATGATATTTTTTGCTAAATATATTAATAACTTTTAACTCTGTTTTGATCCAATTCTAGGTATACGTTGTCCAATTGTGATCGACTATAGCCGTCTTGCTCTACAAAATACAGTCCTGTCAAAACGTAAACTGGCATGGTTTGTAGAAGAAGGAATTGTTGATGGATGGGACGATCCAAGAATGCCTACAGTTTCTGGTATTCTTCGTCATGGTATGACTGCCGAAGGATTACGTCAATTTATTTTGGCCCAAGGGTCTAGTCGATCTTCTGCTTTGATGGAATGGGATAAAATCTGGTCATTTAATAAGAAAATAATTGAGCCTGTAGCTCCAAGAACTACTGCTCTCTTACTGGACTCTTCATATATGGGTCATAATGGTACGCCTCCGGGTCTAGTTCGTGTTTACGTTCACGGCCAAACCGGCTATACTGAGAAAAAGGTTAGTTGTGTTGACGATTCATGAAACTTCAACCTTTGTAGTGTTATTTTAGATTATGTGGTTTGAGCATTGCAGTCTCACTCATTAGATCCTGAATTCACACTCTTCATGTACAGTGCTTTGAGTAACCTTGAAAAAAAATCTGTATGTAATTGGTTATTTGCAGTAAAACTCCCTACGAAGTTCTATAAAACCTGATACTATTGCTTAGTATTAAGTAAGCATCCACTTATGGCGTCCATATAACAACAATGAACACTTAGTTTACTGATCATAGAGTTATCAAAACTTCAGGTTTTTGAAAAACTGTTTTAACTCATTAAATATTCTGAGAAAGCCTTTTTTCAAAATTAAAATTCCAGGTGCAAATCCACCCAAAAAACGAATCTCTTGGATACCGTTCAATCTTACTTGGTCCAGAAGTGTTTGTTGAGCAGGCCGATGCATTATGTTTTAAAAAAGGTGAGAATGTAACCTTCATCAATTGGGGTAATCTTCGGATAATGGATATACATAAACAAGGTCAACTAATAGTATCCATTGATGCTTGCCTTAATTTGGAAGATACTGTAAGTTATATTATATATATATATATATATATATATATATATATATAATCAAACTCCAATGTGAGTAATTCATCAAGATTTCTCATGTAGTACCGATCGAATGTCCAGTAATACTGATAAGTTTCATACTAGAAAGAAACGGCTGTCTAGTACTTCTAGGTTTTCAGTAGTGGTCTATCCAAAATCCGTTCCTAATTTAAACTGAGAATTCTACAATCTCCACAAGATTAAAACTTTGGTGGTACAAGACTGAATACAGGCGAATCCCTATATGTTTGCTTATCTTTTGACTACAACCAGATGCTCTGTGACCAACGTTAAAGATATCTTTTGAAACGCTTCCGTAAACTTAACTATACTCCGCTATAATTGATAAACTCATTGTGAATTGACACCAACTGAAATACGATACTTATTAGTGAGCTTCTTCAATGTTAAACAACAATAGCTCTGGAGGTAAATATTGTCTTGATGAACTAATTGTTGACTGATCTCGAACTCAACAGGAACCATTTTCTAAAATATATATTCTGTCTTAGATGGCTTCAAATATAATTTAGTTATAAGAAAATTCCTCAAGTACATAGACATTCGCTTTTAGCTTTTTATTTTAAGATTTAGTAAAGTCATTTATTTGAATACATCCAGAAGTGTAGGGTTGATTATGTTCATCCTCTACCATCAATAAAGCATTCACATAAACCCACTACACTGCGTGTGCATATTTCCTGCTCTTCACATATGTTTGTTATTTGTTTCTATTTAAAAGGATTACAAGAAAACACTAAAAATCACTTGGCTAACAGATCCTAAAGATTCCCACCTTCCATTAATTCCAGTTAGTTGTCTAACATATGATAATCTTTTAAGCAAAGCAATTTTGGGCAAAGATGATGACTTCAAACTATATGTTAATAAATATTCAAAAGTAAGTGACTTCGTTTGTGCAGCTGGTTTTGTGTTTGGTTACAACCCTTGTCTTTTATCTACTAACTCGGTATTTATTTATTTATTTGAACACAAATATTGGTACAAAGGGACACCTAATACACATATACCACACAGGTAATCTGATTTGTGTGTGGGCTGTGATACTGCCCAGGTGTCCAGATCAAAGCAGGTGGTTTTCTTAGGGCGCCACACCCCGAGCCTTCGACCCAAAGGTCTGATACACAAAGCAGTGGAGCAACGTCAGGAGATGCAGTCCCATGGTAACCGGTGACCAACAACTGGTTCATACACCATTTGTTCCTTCAGGATCATGGAGCCCATATGCACCATTGGTTTGGAATCAGGGTTTTCCAACTCCCCTAGGTGGACCCTCCATATCCACCAACTAGGTTGAAGCACCGAACATTCTCTTTTCGTCCTCTCAATTTCGTAAACAACTGTGATGCCACGAGAAGGTATTGAGTAGGACTTCCGTGGCAGTGGTTGTAAACACGTGGCCATGTGAGAGCATTCTGAGAGGGAGAGCTGACTCTTCCCACCCTCGGCCGTACGAGGACATTTGCGGGCATCCTGCTCATCATAATCCATATACGTTCCACATATATTTACTGAGGTATTATTATTATTCTCTTCTCACGGTGTTCTCAACAACAGATAAATTAGTCGATGATAAAGGATAATAATTGAAGTGAGTAGGAAATGTATGACACGTGCCAAGTCATCGCCTGGTTCAACATATCAGGTTAGCTAAATCGGGTAGATTTGAGTGTTGTAAAAGGTGAACAAACCATTTACTTATGGCTTTTATGTTACTTTTCTTTCGATCATTTCTGTAGTTATTATTTGGGTTTAGATTTTTAATACAGTACACTGATATACTTACAAAACAATTCGTATTTCTGTAAATATACTTTTGTCATTCATAACTCAAAACTGCCCTACTGTAATGATTTTGTGAGACTTTCAGAATTCCAGTAAAAAGGAGCTTGTTGAATCAATGTGAAATTAGTCAAAATACTGACCAAGTTGTTTCTACGGATTAAGTGTCATTTAGAATTTGAAAGAAGGGCGTAGGCGATTCGAAACAAACGCAATATTCTGAATTATTTTCTAAAGAAATACGCGCAATCAGTTGGTGAATAGTTAGAGACCTGTTGTTTATATATGCTCGTCACTGAACGAAGTAGAAACCCTATATCATAACATTTTTAGGAAAATATAATATTTTACATGTTTACATTTTAAAACAGCGCAAATCCATCAACTTTTCATAGACATACACATCATTTTTTGGAATGCTCCATGTCTACTGAAATTATATCGACTTGCTTTTTCTTCTAGAAAGAACAATGCTTACTTGGTGATCCTGACTTGTGTCATGTTAAAAAAGGTGACATCATACAGATTCAACGTCGTGGTTTCTACATTTGCGATGCACCATATGAATCAGCTTGGTAACTCATTTCATTAATTTTGCTAATTCTTTTCTTTTTAAATAAAAATTTTAATCAGTTGTAAAGAAGCATACCAAGCTGTTGAAAAGTGATGTCACATAAAATGTTGGTGCTAGACGAGTTTTTTTCCAATAAATGTTCCTCACAATATTGATATATATGCGAAGCAATAGTGGGACGTGGCGTGGAGGGTGATTTTACGTAGATAAAAGATTGATTAGGCTGTTAGAAATAATAAGTGTTGTTAAGCACCCGCAAATGTCCTGGTTCGGCCGAGGGTGGGAAGAGTCAGCTCTCCCTCTCAGAATGCTCTCACATGGCCACGTGTTTACAACCACTGCCACGGAAGTCCTACTCAATACCTTCTCGTGGCATCACAGTTGTTTACGAAATTGAGAGGATGAAAAGAGAATGTTCGGTGCTTCAACCTAGTTGGTGGATATGGAGGGTCCACCTAGGGGAGTTGGAAAACCCTGATTCCAAACCAATGGTGCATATGGGCTCCATGATCCTGAAGGAACAAATGGTGTATGAACCAGTTGTTGGTCACCGGTTACCATGGGACTGCATCTCCTGACGTTGCTCCACTGCTTTGTGTATCAGACCTTTGGGTCGAAGGCTCGGGGTGTGGCGCCCTAAGAAAACCACCTGCTTTGATCTGGACACCTGGGCAGTATCACAGCCCACACACAAATCAGATTACCTGTGTGGTATATGTGTATTAGGTGTCCCTTTGTACCAATATTTGTGTTCGAATAAATAAATAAAAGTCGTTGAACCATTATTTACAGGTTCACATCCGACTACACTTACCTAAGTCTTCAAAAGGTGTGGTCAACATCGTTTTCCCATTATATTAAATGTGTGACTCACAGCTGATTAAATAATTTTATACTTGGAAAATTTTTGATTTCAGTAAAACGTTTGTATATGTACTCTATTGTAAAATATTTCCCGGTCTGTATATATTTTTTATGCTCGATACTTGAGATTGGAGAGGTGGTTCCGTTGTTTAGGCGTTCGACTTTTAGTCACTAAATTGCTGGTTTGAATCCTATCCTATTTTCAACAACCAGCAGCTACATTGGTCTTTAAACTTAGAATGTAGTGCGCTGCCAAGTACAATAATCTATATCTAATAAATGGCTTGAATAAATAAATCCTACTTTAAAATTGAAACATCTCACATTTGTTTGATAGAAACATATCCCCATATTAGAGTATTTAAAGCAAAATATAACCTTCGTTTTTAGAATGGTGTAGTTAATGTTATGTTTACATCTTTTGAGTTTTTCTGGTCAGTTTAACTATATTCGCGTAGTTGATTTGACTTTTAATAAATGCAACGGACGTTAGTTCTCTTACGAAAAACATTCTTTTAAATTCATAGCTTAGCTACTGGCCACGAATCTCCTTGTGTTTTAATTAACATTCCGGATGGTTCATCTAAGGACGATACTACTGTTATCAATTCTAAAGTTGAGTCATCAAAGTCAGGATCCGTCAAAACCAATAAAGTGAGTTGTTTTTCTGTCAGGGTAATTTATATTTCTTATCACACTCATTATGTCAGATAGCTATTACCGTAAAACACCACTACAATAACACAAAGAGATTTTCGTACTAAACTCTCGCAATGTAACAGGAATCACTTAACCGTACACATAATTAATCACCTTCAGTAAACATCCTAAATTGCCTGAATTATTGATCGGTTAGTAGATAGATCATCGTCTGACCTATTAACTACTATTATACGATTAACTATTTTTAATTGATTTCTAATCTCTTATTTACAGTCTCTCTTACTCATAGCTACTTTTGACTTGATTGTGTATAATTCTTATTTTTTATTTGATGATGTGATGCGTTCTAGTCTGCTTGTATATAAGCTAAGTATGTTTGAAGTATAATATTCATATAGTGAATGTTGATTATTCTGTTCTGGATTCAACGGGGAGGACAAGGTGAAAGGCTATTGTATAGAGGACCAATAAGGATTTAAAGTTGACTACTAGTGCTGGCTGGGGTGTCATTAATTAACTCAGGGACAAGGTCATAGAAGTCGATATTGTGATCGGTGGTCTTTTCACATGATATAAGACAGAACCATAAGTCATAACAGTACATTCCTTTTTCATTTCCTCAATTTGTTATTTTAAATATCACTATTCTCTTTAAAAGACTGTTAAAATTGAAAATCTGACACCGGAAGAAGCAGCTAAAGCAGCTGAACAACAACGTCGAAAAGAAGAGAAGAAAGAAGCAAGGAAAGAGGGCAAATTAAAAGCTAAACAACAAAAAATATCAGAAAATGAACTAAGAACAAAAGTAATTAGTCATGAGACAATCAGTAAACCAACTAATGATAAATTAATGTATAAACGTTCCAATCACGTTGATTTAATAAAATGTGAACAATCGATACCAGCATCTTCAAAAGTTGTCGTCAAAAATGAAAAAGAAAAGGAGCCATTGTTGAAAAAGTCTGGAACTAAAAAACAATCTAAGTAAGTGTTTTTTCAGATTTACCATAATATTGCTGAAGGGAATTACTATTTTTGTAATTATTACTGATAAGCATTGAATTTTGTGATAATCTGTTAGCATTTAAACTAAGTTAATCAAATTTAAATAATCTAATAGGCCTTATTACCAATGACGATTGTAACATTACTTACGTGCTTACTTACACCTGTCCCCTCCCGTGAATCATAGGCCACCAACCAGAATTCTCCAACCAACTCTGTTCTAAGCTCTTCGTTCCAGTTGTCCTCAAATGCTCAAATTCCCTGAGCAATGTGTTATTTGGTCTACCTCTTTTCATTTTGCCTTCAGGATTCCAAGTTACAGCTTGCTTTGTGATGCAGTTTTGTAGTTCCCACTATGTGTGTCCTATCCACTCTCAGCGTCTTCTAATTTCCCCTTCAGGTGGAAGTTGGTTTGTTCCCTGTCATAGTAGGTTGTTGCTGATGATGTCTGATTAGTGGATCTGAAGTGTGTTGCGTAGACAACTGTTAATAAATACCTGTATCTTTCTGATGAAGTTTTTACTAGTTCTTAAGTTTTAACTCAATACAATAGAGTTGTCTTGACGTTCGTATTGATAATTCTGAATTTGATTTTGGCTGACATTTGTTTTGAGTTCCATATGTTCTTCAGTTGTATGCTGCCCAGGTTCTTAAAGCTTCTCACATCTTCCAGAGCTCCTCGATCAAGTGTGATTTGCTTGGTGCTCTATCTTTTATTTTAGGATCTCTCTTTTCCCTTTGTGAGTGTTGAAGTCTACTGCTCCAGAGGTAGCTGCTACATTGGTTGTGTTTTTCTGCATTTGTTGCATTTTATGGGATATAATAGCGAAGTCCAAACGTCCAGCTGTATCCAAGCTGTCCATTAAATTCCATGCCTCCTCTGAGATGTGGAGGTCTTCATAATCCTGTCAACTATCAGAAGAAAGATGAAGGGAGAGATTAAGCAGCCTTATCTGACACCGGTCTTTACCTGGAATGCATCTGTCACCTGTTCTCCATGCATGACTTCTCTATGTAGTCCGTCGTCCGAATTCCGTTTAATGTTGACGTTCTTCTCAGGTATACTATAGCGCTGAAGATGTTTCCGTTGCTTTCTAATAGTCAATGAAGTTGATGTATAGTGACGAATTTCATTCAATTGATTGCTCACCAATGATCTGTAGTATCGCGATTCGGTCTGTGCACGACTGGTCCTTGCGGAATCCAGCCTGTTGGTTTCGAAGCTGGGCATCTACTGAATTTTGCGTTCGGTTTAACAACACTATTGAAAACGTTTCCTGGTACCCATAGTAGTGTAAGGCCTGTGTAGGCAGTCCTACTCACTGCCTTCTCGTGGCGGGGGTGTTGTTTACGAAAATGAGAGGACGAAAAGCGAATGTCCGGCGCTTTAACCGGATCCCAAACGAAGGGTGCACATGGGCTCCAGTATCCTGCGGGAACAAATGGCGTATGAACCAATCGTTGGTCACCGGCTACCATGGGACTGCATCTCCTCACGATGCTCCACTGCCTTGTGGATCAGATCTTCAGGTCAAAGGCTCGGGGTGTGGCCCCCTAAGAAAACCACCTGCTTCGGTTTGGGCACCCGAGCAGTATCACAGCCCTCACACATATAAAATAAGATATGTGTGGTATATGTGTATTTGGTGCCTTCTTGTACCGATATCTATGTGTTAAAATAAATAAATAAATAAAAGTTCTTTAGTTGGCATCTTGATGAGTTATTTATCCCCCTAAACCTTCCTGAATCGGACGTGGAGCATCTTTGCAGTTATTTCTGTGTCTAACTTTAGTGCGTCGGTGCTGTATAATCAACAATGTTCACAAACCTCATACTGATTTGTTAATGTCAGTCAGTCAGTGACAACGTGGAACTTCGTACGTACGTACATCAGTTCGAGTTGCCATACCACATTATCACCGAGATGAAGTTGTCGATTCTAATCCCGTAGTTGTAGAGGTAGTAAAAGTATAAGCAATTATCGGAAACATTAGAGTTTGAAGATGTTATTTAAGGAGTATAGTCCAGTGGAATGGATTTGGAAAAATAAAAGACATGAAGAATACAGAAGATTAGAGTTTGAGAGAACACAGAGAGTGGATGCACCTGCGCCACTGCAAACGATTTTAAGCCATGTCACTTAAGGTTTCTAACCATCGGTTGCTATCGTCTCGCGGACCCCGACCAGGTAGTCTACATCTACCAACATGGTTCAGTCCACTTGTCAGTGACTTCATGGATTTGTGCCATGTATTGGTCTGGCCGCCCCTAGCTTTCTTCCAACCTACTCCTACACCATAAAACATCGCACGTGGGGGGCAGTCGGTGGTTGGGCATACGTAACACTTGTCCCAGCCATGAAGTTTCACTACTTCAATTGATTTGCCATCCTTAAATGGTACCCGTTTCCTAGCAACTACATTACTTACTTGGTGGCCCCAGGATATACGAGCAATGTTTCGAAGACACCTATGATCAAATACTAGTAACCTACGAATATCCTCCACTCTTGCCGGCCGTGTTTCAATGCCATAGAGTAGGACGGAACGAACTGCTGCGCAGTAAACACGTCCTATGGTTGATAGACGGATATCTCGCCCACGCCACAAATGACGCAAGTTGGCAAAAGCTAGTCGAGCCTTCCGGATCCGTGCTGAGATTTCGTCACACACCAAACCACAAGGGCTGATGAGACTTCCGAGAAGGTCGGAAAGCTTTCTGTAAAACTCATCTTTTACATCATCTGAGCTGCAGTCAGTGGGAGAGTAGGCAGAGACGACGAAGAGGCAACGACGAGTGTCCCAACCTTTTCGAGTCCTTACTGTTCCATTTAGTCGGACAGCACACAAACGACTGTCTACTGGGATCTAGTCTAAGAGAGCTAGTTCTGCTTCAGGACTCAATGCCATACCTATGCCAGCGGGGCCACGGGAAGCAGCATCAGGGCTTCCAGATACACGAAGCGTAAATCGAGTTGGTTCGTTACTTTGACATGGTGCGGTCAAATGAATGACACTACTCGGATCCTGTATGCGCATTTCGGAGACGCAGCACACATCAATGGAGCGAGATTCTAAAGTCTTAGCTAAGAAAGCCTGTTGTCCTATTTGGCACAGTGTCCGGACGTTGAAAGCTCCTACGTGTTTTTTGGAGCGTGGTTTCAGGAGACTAGGAATAACATTCCGCGTACTCGAATCTTTTGCACTAGCGGGGCGAGGTGATAAAGGGACGTAAGAAGGGTTGGTCGTGGAAATAAGAGAGTTATTAGGAGGTGTAATCAGCTTTTCGCTGCATGTTTTATGTGAAGATTGTGGTATTATTATCCGATTGTCGAAGCCCACAGAAAAAAGGAACGCGGTTTGGAACTGCATCTTGGTAAACGAAATTCGCATGTTTCACCCAATGCCATTAACATATATGTTCTTAAATATCCCGGTTTTGGAAACCTTTAACCTTCATTTAGACACCAAATGATTAGTACAGCATTGTATTTATTACTGTCATATTTAAGATTCAATAAAAATTAGTTGATTTAAGTTCTCGATTGTATTTAACAATATAATCGTTTCTGTCACCAAATCAAGATAATATTATGGTAGAACAGTAAACCGTAAACCAGAAAATAACACAGTTATATCGATAATGTAATAAGAAGACGGAGATTATCAAAACTATGTGTTATATTAGCGCAATACATTTCGAACAATCTGATCACACATATACTTGTTAAGAGCATTTATATTAATATCAAGGAAAAGACAATGTGTTCATTTGATGTGAATTCCTTGTTTACAAATGATATATTACAAATTGATATATTATGTGATTACATATCTGTAAACAAACTTCAATCACGTGTTCCTGTAAAATTTCTTAAAGATTTACTGTTATTATGTACTGACAAAGTTCAGTTCACTTTTGAAGGTGAATACTTTCGTCAGATTGATGGGGTTGCTATGGGTAGTCCGCTAGGACCATTATTAGCAGACGTGTTCATGGCAAATGTTGAAAATCAGGCTGATGACATAATTGAAAACATGTCACTTTATAAGAGATATGTGGATGATATCCTAGTTGTTTGTGAAAGTAAAGAGGAGATGTACCGTTTATTAAATAAATTCAACACTCTTCAAAACCATATCAATCTCTCATGTGAAGAGGAGAAAAACGATCAGCTCCCTTTCCTAGATATACTTCTGAGTAGACGAGAAGATGGCTCAATCAAGCGATCCATTTTTAGAAAACCAACGTGGACAGGTCAATACCTTAGTTATTATAGTTATTGCCCTGTGCAATACAAACGTGGTTTGATAAGGTGTCTTTTCAACAGGCTTGATCGCATTTGTACAAATGACGCCATTGATGATGATGTTAAGTTGTTAAACAAAACATTAATAGAAAATGGTTACCCCCTGAAATTCATAAATAGATGGAAAGTCCACGGTACAGTGAGACCTGCTGTAGCCTCGGTGGAAAAAAAGCCTGTCTACATCACCTTACCATTCAGAGGTGATTCAAATAGTCTGTTATTGAAACAAAGACTTAAATCAGTCATCATCAAAACGTACTGCGCAGCAAAGGTCATTGTCAAAGAAAGAACAAGGTGCATGTTTCATTCAACACCTCAAAGACATGAAAACGATTGTGTCACATCCCACTGTGTTTACCAATTTAAATGTGTGTGTGGTCACACATACATAGGGAGGAGCAATCGTAATCTTAACATTAGGGTGAGTGAACATGTACCCAAATGGCTGCAAAAACAAATACAATCAAGTGACCCAATTAGAGCAGAGGATAAACATCCATCATCCTCTATTGCTAAACATATAACTGAAACAGGGCACAAGATTGATCTAAACTCGGCTTTTGTGGTATTATATAAAAGTGTAAAAGGGCGTATACTAAGGTTTATTGAAGCCTTAGCCATACGAAAATTCAAACCCCCTTTGTGTATTCAAAAACAGTTTGTTCTTACCTTAAACCTACCCTGGTAATATTGACTTATTATCCAGAGTGATTAGGTTTTGAATTGTGTTCAGATTATTATTAATATTATTATTATCATTATTATTATTATTACTCTTATTATTATCCTTATCTCCTCTTACCCCATTTACAGTCTAGTTGACCTTTTATTTTTATATATAAATGCTCTTAACAAGTATATGTGTGATCAGATTGTTCGAAATGTATTGCGCTAATATATCACATAGTTTTGATAATCTCCGTCTTCTTATTACATTATCGAAATTTATAAAAGGGACTAATTGCTTTAAATTTCTTAAAAAAACAGTTATATCGACCAATAATATCGGCGACTGGCGAAGATAATTTAGCGCTACATTTCAAAAGTGAACAAACTATCCAAAATATAATATTGTTTTAAACGTAGAACGTAAAATGTTGCTTAATGAGAGAAGAGAAAATATAATACAACTACGAATTAAAGAACGGGACAAAATCTAAGTAGGGTTGTTAAAGTATTTAGTATGTAGCTCCGTGTGAAGGAGTAATATTACTCATCTCAGTAGAGGAGCTTTAGGAATATTATTTTCACCTTGATTTTAAGAGCTGCCATCACAAATTGCTTTAATTAATAAAAAATACCGATTCAACTTTAAAGGTTAGTTGTCTTATTATCGAACATTATTATTTAGGAATCTGGTTTTATCTAAAACTCAAGGTTTCTCATTTCCTTTACGGCAATTAGCCTAAATAACATGTGCATAACTTACCTGCCTAACCATGGCTGTTGTCTTGTAATGTTCGGGTGTGCCAATCGTGATAGCCCATTCGAGTTATCTAGTTTGGAGAATTCGATCATTGAGGTTCCACCATTTTAGACAGGTCAAATAAAATATGACAAGCCGATGGGGGCAAATTTATAGTCTGATGAAGACGTTGTACTAGTGACTGTATCGAAATTTAACCACAATAAGGTGTCTTTGACTAAGTAACCAGTATCTCTTGCATTACCAACCTATCATAAGCAGATGTTAGTGAAGGTCGAGCCTAGAAATACTGCATCGCCCCATTGGTCCACTGGTTTTCGGTCGTAGTACCAAAGTAAATAACTTACATTGTGGTCGTGTGAGATAGGGCTTAAGCAGTTTCCCATTGGGCTCTGCGATCACGCTCCTATGTCAAACAGAATTACCGAAAGAAATTCAGTTTTTATTCTTGGGTGTTCAAGAAGAAAATACCCGTCCATAGTGTGTAGGCAAATGGGAAATATCTATCTTTTTGCATATATTCAACTACGTCCTCACTTATCTATTGGTTGTTTGTGACTCGCTAACATTGACGAAGTCATTTTTCTTAGCAAAGACTTACTTACTTACTTACTTACGCCTGTTACTCCTCGTGAAGGAGCATAGGCCGCTCACCAGCATTCTCCATCCAACCCTGTCCTGCGCAATCCTTTCAAGCTCTTTCCAGTTCTTATTCATCTTTTTCATATCTGCTTCTATTTCCCGACGTAATGTGTTCTTTGGCCTTCCTCTTTTCCGCTTCCCTTCAGGATTCCAAGTTAGCGCTTGTCTCGTAATGCAGTTTGATGATTTCCTCAATGTATGTCCTATCCATTTCCATCGTCTTTTCCTAATTTCCTCTTCAGCTGGAAGCTGGTTGGTTCTCTCCCACAAAAGGCTGTTGCTGATGGTTTCCGGCCAATGGATGTTGAGTATCATGCGTAGACAGCTATTAATAAATACCTGTACCTTCTTGATGGTGGTTGTTGTAGTTCTCCACGTCTCAGCTCCGTACAGTAGAACTGCCTTGACGTTCGTATTGAAGATTCTGACTTTGATATTAGTTGAAAGTTGTTTTGAGTTCCATATGTTCTTCAGTTGAAGGAATGCCGCTCTAGCTTTGCCAATCCTCGCCTTGACGTCTGCATCTGAACCTCCTTGTTTATCGACGATGCTTCCCAGGTATGTGAAGGATTCCACGTCTTCCAGAGTTTCGCCATCAAGAGTGATTGGATTGCTGTTCTCCGTGTTGTGTTTGAGGACCTTGGTTTTCCCTTTGTGTATGTTGAGGCCTACTGATGCAGAGACTGCTGCTATGCTGGCTGTCTTTATCTGCATTTGTTCGTGTGTATGTGATAGGAGGGCTAGGTCGTCTGCGAAGTCCAAGTCGTCTAATTGGTTCTGAGCTATCCATCGTATGCCGTAGTTTCTCTCAGATGTCGAGGTCTTCATAATCCAGTCGACCACCAGAAGAAACAGGAAGGGAGAGAGTAGACAGCCTTGTCTTACTCCGGTCCTTACTTGGAATGCGTCTGTCAGCTGTCCTCCATGCACTACTTTGCACTGTAGTCCATCGTATGAGTTCCGGATAATGTTGACAATCTTCTCAGGAACTCCGTAGTGTCGAAGAAGTTTCCATAACGTCCTCCTATCTACACTGTCAAATGCCTTCTCATAATCAATGAAGTTGATGTAGAGTGACGAGTTCCACTCAATTGATTGTTCGACGATGATCCGTAGTGTCGCAATCTGGTCTGTGCACGACCGGTCCTTACGGAATCCAGCTTGTTGATCTCGAAGTTGAGCGTCAACTGCGTCTTTCATCCTGTTCAGTAACACTCTGTTGAAGACTTTACTCGGTATTGACAGTAGTGTAATGCCTCTGTAGTTTTCACACTTTCTCAGATCTCCTTTCTTTGGAATCTTGATGAGGTGTCCTTCTTTCCAATCCATCGGCACTTGTTCCTCCTCCCAAATCTTCTTGAATAGAAGATGAAGCCTGCTTGTAGTTACTTCGATGTCTGACTTCAACGCTTCAGCTGGTATATTGTCAGGTCCTGCTGCTTTCCCGCTCTTGATTTGTCTGATGGCCATTCTGATTTCTTCCGTCGTTGGTGGATTGACATCTATAGGAAGATCTGTGTGTGCTGCTTCGATGTCCCGTGGATTCGTTGGAGCCGGCCTGTTCAGGAGTTCCTCGAAGTATTCTGCCCATCTGTTGCGCTGTTGCTGAATCTCAGTGATCGGTCTTCCTTCTTTGTCTTTGACTGGTCTCTCTGGTTTACTGTATTTCCCTGCAAGCTTCTTCGTCGTATCGTAAAGCTGTCTCATATTTCCTTCTCTTGCAGCTTTTTCCGCCGTCGTTGCTAGTTCTTCCACGTATTTTTGCTTATCAGCTCTAATGCTCTTCTTCACTTTCTTGTTTGCTTCTATGTACTCTGCTTGTGCTTGGACTTTCTCTGCTCTTGTTCGACTGTTGTTAATTGCTGTCTTCTTGTTCTTTCTTTCTTTGATGCTGTCCAGTGTTTCTATAGAGATCCATTCCTTGTGAAGATGCTTCTTGGGGCCCAGAACTTCTTCACACGTTGAAGTTAATGTTTCTTTGATGCCTTTCCAGCTATCCTCCATAGTAGTTTCTTCTTCCTTCAGTAGATCCTGTAAGGCTCGGAACCTGTTGTTGAGAGCTACCTTGAATTCATTGAGTTTGTCAGTATCTCGAAGGAAGGCTGTATTGAACCTTTGTGGTGCTGTTTGTCCAGTTGTCCAGTTCTTCTTTAGCTTCAGTTTCAATTTGGCCACAACTAGGTGATGATCTGAAGCTATGTCCGCTCCTCTCCTGGTTTTCACATCTTCCATTGTCCTTCGGAACTTTTTATTGATGCAAATGTGATCTATCTGGTTCTCTGTGGTGTGGTCCGGTGAGATCCACGTAGCTTTGTGTATACGTTTGTGTGGAAATGTTGTACCGCCTATGACCAATTTATTGAATGCACACAGATTTGCAAATCTTTCCCCGTTTTCGTTTCTCTCTCCCAGTCCATGCAGTCCCATGATGTCTTCATATCCGGTGTTGTCCATTCCGACTTTGGCGTTTAGATCTCCCATCAGAATGGTGAGGTCCTTTCTTGGGCACTTCTCTATGATTGATTGCAGCCTCTCATAGAATTGATCCTTAACGTCGTCGTTGCTATCATTGGTAGGTGCATAACATTGGATAATGTTCATTGTGATCCCCTCCTTCTTTGTTTTGAATGATGCTTTGATGATTCTGGATCCGTGAGATTCCCATCCTACAAGTGCATTTCGTGCTACTTTGGATAGCATTAGAGCAACTCCCTGAGTGTGTGGAGCATTTTCCTCTTCGTGACCGGAGTATAGCAGCATCTCTCCCGTATTTAGCCTTTGTTGTCCAGCTTGGGTCCAATGGGTTTCACTGATTCCCAGTACTGCCAAGTTGTATCTCCTCATTTCCGTTGCTATTTGACTGGTCTTCCCGGTCTCCCACATTGTCCGGACGTTCCATGTACCTATAAAAATTGTTGCTCTGGTTGTTAGAAGGGGCATCGGCCTCGTGGCTTCCGAAGGAACTCGGCTTTCACCATGAAGCGTCATATTACCTCTAACTCCCAGGGCAGAGTTTAAATGGTTTGAGTTATTTTTTCTGGTTAGCGTTTTTTTAGAGAGTTAGGTTTCTACGGGATGGGGACGCTAACCCCATGCCCAACCCTCCTCCTTTACCCGGGCTTGGGACCGGCAGTAACTCTGGAAGAGCTACAGGCGGAGTTAGCAAAGACTAAACGTACTAATTAATAAAGCGATATTTGTCACACATATGATTTAGTAATTTTTTTGCCTCTTCAAATTATATGCTTTCAATAGATTTTTGTATTTCATTGTAAGGGAGGTTAATTCGAAATTCATTTATTAAAATAGGTTAGCTATCGAAGCATCAAAGGAAACTGATTTCTCTGATTGGTACTCCGAACTGATTATAAAATCCGAATTACTAGATTATTATGATATCAGTGGATGTTATATTCTCCGTCCATGGGCTTATCATATGTGGCAGTCTATTCAACGTTTTATGGACGAAAAACTCAAGGTGATGGGTATAGAAAATGCTTATTTCCCGATATTTGTCTCAAAATCAGCATTGGAACGTGAAAAGAACCATGTGGCTGATTTCGCGCCTGAAGTGAGTACAAATTATTTCCTTCAGTCTAACCTTATGGTCTTAACATTGAGTGACGGTTGTAGAAGGAACCTTCTGAGCTAGGTTTCATTGTATTTAGTACTCGTTAGGAAGTATTATGTATAATCTTGAGAGAACTGATGCTTTCCGTTAGATTTTAGACTGTATCACACAGTAAAAACAGTCAAACGTTGCCGTCGGTCTATTTGGGTAACGAGCGACTTCCTGTAAGATTGAGGTTTATATAGTGATTTACCACTGCTTATTAACTAAAGCTGTGATTGTCTGGCCCCCTTAGTACTGATCAAATTCTGTGGATGAATTTGTAATTTAACCTTGTTGTTTAGCAAATTATGTAGTGGTTTCAAACCATAATCCCGAATTTTACAAGCGTGTTGACTGTATAAAGCTGCCAGCTTAATATTTGGGAATTACTTGATTCGTTTGATCATCAGGATCATTTTTTGGGACAAAAAAAGATTCAGTATGCAGCTTAGCGAATATATTACAGTAATCTCACCTATTTGATTTCCATCGTACATTTTGCTTGGGTTTATAATAGCATACTTTCGAATCACACTTAATTCAGAATAATTAAATTTGCAGTTTTGTTCGATACGTTAATCACACATCATAACTTTTTTTAATTCAGTAGTATGGTTTAAAAACAGCAACCCAATAGTTTTGAGCTTTTCATTCACAAACTGATTTTTTTGCTTCTTACAAACAGGTGGCTTGGGTGACAAAATCAGGTGATACAGATCTAACAGAGCCAATCGCTATTCGACCAACCAGTGAAACAATTATGTATCCAATATTTGCTAAATGGATTCAATCTCATCGAGATTTACCACTTCGTATAAATCAGTGGAGTAATGTTGTCCGGTGGGAATTTAAACATCCACAACCTTTTTTACGGTAAATTTATTGACCATACCGCTTTGATATTTATGCAGCATCATAAAATATTGGATGTTTATAGATAACTCGGTAGTATATTTTAATAGAAAGTAACCATATGTATTGATGTAATTGTTCTCATACTTGCCTGATGGTCACTTAAATTGGACAACGTAATTAGATGTAACTCAGTAACCAAATAGACGTTTGTGTAATTGTTCTTCAGTCTTACCTTGTCTTTGCATGAGGGTTATTCATACCGATTGGCTGTCTATATCAGAGTAGGTAAGTGAAGCAGGGTACAAACCTACAGTCAAGTGATTGAAAGTTGAGTATTTTAAACCATAAACCACTGTATTACATCAACCACAACATTAATTTATCCTGCTGGTGTTCCAAACAGAGCCTGTGTGTAATGATTATTCTCTCAGATTAATAATCAACGAAGTTTAAACTGAAATTCACAACCACTCCTTTCTAGAAACTGTAAGACTATGTTTTTCAAAGCAAAAGATTTGTAGCATTTTCATTATTTTGATTACTAATTCCAATACACCCGTAAGCATTGGTTCTCTTTGGATCACCAATGTGAAACACCGTCAAATATTTGAAGTGGAGCAGTAGACTACTAGTTAAAGGCTTTAATTTCCAACCATTAGGTTGCAAGTTGTGTTTGTACTAATTTAAAAAGAAACTTGTTCAGTAGCTAGTTTTTACTCCCTAAAAATAATGCTACAAACTATTCCACTAACTAGTATATAAATATTTATGATTATTCTGAGTAATTTTTGTTATTCCAAATTTTCATTCGTCAATTATTTTCATGTCCACCTTAATTAGTACACGTGAATTCCTTTGGCAAGAAGGACATACCGCCTTTGCAGAAAAAGCCGATGCAGAAGCAGAGGTTCGTGTAATATTGGATCTATATGCTGAAGTTTACGAATATTTACTTGCAGTTCCTGTGGTCAAAGGTAATAATAATAAAAATAATAGTAATGATCCGTTTTCAGTAAGAAGATTCGTAAGTATATTGTGTTGATTTATTATAATTGAATGACAACTTGGTGAATTCGCTGAATATTTCCAACCTTCCGTCTACAGGGAAATGTTAAATTTTGACTACATGACATTAATCCTATAAGTTGGTTACTGACTGCTCTGTTCTGAGAGATCTTGGTTGTTGTTCGTCAGGCAGCAAGAATACTAGCCAGAAACCCTAGTTGATAAAAATATTGTTGATATATTCATTCCCAATTTTCCTGTTATATATATATATATATATATATATATATATATATATTCATCTGTTGTTGACCCCGATTGACTCCCTTCTATCATTCGTATCGATTGTTTCTATCTTTGCTTAATACTATCACGATTACTTTCATGTCTTCCATGTTGATTTCCGCATTGTGATATATACCCCTTTGTAATATGACATATTGGAAGAATAGCTTTTCTGCACCAAGTTTCATGTTCCGTCTGTTTATCTACCTGTTAAGGATGTTCCGTATGTAATAATAAATTTGTTTAGATTCTTTAAAGATATTGGTTGTTTACTTCTTTTGTAACGTAAGCTTTAAAAGCTTTCAACTAAGTTTTCTTCCCGTCTTAATACTTCATCATCGATAATGCACATTCATAGTATGTTACAGTTACCTTTTTAGCATCTGATTTCACTTAATATACATTTATACGTTCTAATTTGTGATAGTTTTTAAAAAGATATTTCTGAAGATAGTACAAGATTTCATGTCAATATTTTTTTTTCATGCATTCTTGTCGTTAGTATTCATCGCAGTGTTAGTTGAAAAGTTGTCTAATAATTGTCTGATCATGTTATATAACTTATGTATTATGTTGTTTTCGAAGAATTTGTATTAGTCTGTCTTTTAGTTATTTAAACACATAAGCATTGGTACAAGAAGGTAACAAATATGTATGCGCTACACTTAATCATTCGATTCGTGTGAGGGCTGGAATAATGCCTAGGTGCCCGAACCGAAGCATGTGGTTTTCTTAGGGAGCCACTCCCTGAGCCTTTAACATTGAGGTCTGATTCACGAGTCAGTGGAGCAACGTCAGGAGATGTAGTCCTATATTAGCTAGTGACCAACATTAGGTTCATACACCATTTGTTCCTTCAGGATCATGGAGCCCATATGCACCATTGGTTTGGAATCAGGGTTTTCCAACTCCCCTAGGTGGACCCTCCATATCCACCAACTAGGTTGAAGCACCGAACATTCTCTTTTCGTCCTCTCAATTTCGTAAACAACTGTGATGCCACGAGAAGGTATTGAGTAGGACTTCCGTGGCAGTGGTTGTAAACACGTGGCCATGTGAGAGCATTCTGAGAGGGAGAGCTGACTCTTCCCACCCTTAGCCATACTAAGGTATTCGGGGGCTGTTCTTCTAAATGATTATGAAATTTCTGATACTGCTTGTCATATTAGGCTTAAAAAAACCATCAACTTTTTGTTTTTGTACAGATTATTAGTTTTTCTGTACATTTATTTATCTATTAGGGCGTAAAACTGAACGTGAAAAATTCGCCGGTGCAGATTATACAACAACTGTGGAAATTTATATTGCTGGAAATGGACGTGCAATTCAAGGTGCTACATCACATCATTTAGGTCAGAACTTTAGTCGTATGTTTGATGTGACATACGATCATCCAGTAACTGGTAAACCTGCCTACGTCTATCAAAATTCTTGGGGTCTTACCACTCGTACACTAGGCGTTTTAATTATGGTACACAGTGATGACAAAGGTCTTATATTACCACCGAGGGTCGCACCATATCAAGTAATTTATTAAGATTGTATGCAAAAGTTATATTGACATAGTAGTTTTTGTATTAAAGTGTATATATATTCATTCGTGACTTATTTTTAGACAACGCCTTTAATATTCGTGCAAACAATTTGTTTGGTAAATAGTTTAAACAATCCACTTGTTTTTAATCGTATTGTACTTTAAACTGATGACGTAATGTGAAAAACATCTTAGTTTTCAACTAGACATCATCGTTGATACAATTTAAATTTATGTACATTTGTGTTTTGAAAACATATCCACGTTAGGTGGTTGCGTTGGGAGGATGGATCCTTAATGGCTTAGATCCACACATGATGATTGATTTCTTTCCACTCCTTCAGCGTTGGTAAACCTTTCTGGAACGGGCCAGAGCTTTATTAAGTAACCTTTATATATAAACACAAGTATTTATCATGCTTCTAAACAATCGCTCCGGCACTTGTATTGTCTGTTCAACTTATTTTTGTTCTCAATCCCATTGAGTCAAATAGATATAACATTAAATAGATTTTATTATCTTAGTACTATAGATTTCGATCAATACAGTATTTAGTGGATGTTTTGCACATTAATTTTTTATTAATGTAGCTTTTTTCTAAACGACGTAATAACCTATACTTGGACTTTATATTTTTTATGTGTTTACGAATTGTAAAATAGATCGATCATAACTAGCAGTGAAATTCGGGACACTCATCTCGTCATATTTAAAATTCATCTGCTAGTTATGCATACTTTCCACTGCTGATATTCAGACAAATACTCGAATTCAGTCTCTCATTTCAAACTCCACCGCGTTATCCACTGAGCTACTGATCTTAGATAGCCGTTAACTTGTTAATTAGTTATGATGCTTATATCATTGTTAGCTACCAAACTGAGTTAAGAATGTCAAAAAACTAAACGATTTATACGCTTATACATTATCATATATTTACAAATTATTCTGTTTTTTTTTTTAAAAAAATTGTCATAGATTGTTATTGTTCCCTGTGGCATTACTGCAAAAACAACTGTGCAAGAGAGAGATACTCTCTTGTCCGCTGCTCATTCTATATTCGAGTTATTAAATAAGTCTAAACAATTTCGTGTATACTGTGATGATCGTGATAATGTATCACCTGGATGGAAATTTAATCATTGGGAATTAAAAGGAGTTCCTATTCGCTTAGAAATTGGTCCACAAGAAGTTGCTGATAAAAAAGTTTGTTTAGTCCTTCGACATAATGGTGAAAGAGTAAGTTTCTTTACATGTTTGTTTTTTATTTATCTTATATTCAATTATGCACATCTGAAATAGTTTATTCTAATTAAGACAAGTACTTGTACAACTGGGCTCCAAAATTGATATACACCGCAGAAATATGTGCCGTAATTGTATGGACTGAGATACTGCATGGACAACCAACTAAAACAAGTATTTTACTTAGGAGGCTATTTCCCCAACGTTTTACCTAAAAATCTAACGCACAAGACAGTGGAGTAACGTCAGGAGGTTTAGTCCCATGTAGTCTGTAATCTAAACAAGTTCATACTCCACTCGTTCCCTCAGGAGACTGTGCATTATTGATTTAAAATCAAGGTTTTCATCCGAATGGAGCATACGTATCAACCAACTTGGTTTAAGTTCCGGACGTTCTATTTTCATTCTCCCACTTTCATAGCCAACACTTCTCCGATAAGGGAGTCAGTGGGACTCCTCTGCCAGTGTCTATAAACACGTAGCCATATAAGAGCATTTCCAGCGGGAGAGCCGACTCTGTCCACTCTTGGTCGTAACAGGGGATTTGAAGGTATCTATGATTAGAAATAACTTAGTGTCAATAGTATTATGAGAAATTGTCGTTTGTTAGCTCTGCATAAGTATTTTGAGTTGTTTTGTTCTTCTATCGGTTGGTAAAGTCAATAAAATTACACCCATTTTTTGAGAACAATGGTACCACTGATTCTATCATAGCGTCTAACTATGGGATTGAGACGCGCTTGAAACCGAAGCTCAGAAATAACGATTTATTTCAGGAACGTTTCTACTATTAGCTGAACAATACTTACCCCCCCCCCCACAAATAACACCATATATCTTCTCTTCTTGCTCTCACTAATTAAGTATTCAGCGTAACGATATGCAGAGCCAACTGTGTTACAACTTTTACCACAATCACTCTGGGAAGTCTTCCTACACTCTGCTGCTCATTTGTCTACCCTTCCAATAAATAGATCTTACGTTTATGTCTCTAGTGATTAACCCTCTCGATGTTCTTATGTCTACTTGTCTATCAAGAGTATCTCTCTCTGTCTAACACTTACTACAACTCCTTTAAGCCAGTTATTATGTGGGCAAGTATCTACTATAACCAAGACTAAATTGCCCGTTTGTAAATCTCGTACTTTTTGTGTCCACACTGTTCATGTTTATACAAGTAACAAATACTCTGATCCACTAACGCCAAAATGTAATCAGTAACAACTGCACTTGTCGCCATTGATGAGAATAACTTTCGCGTAAATTTATTTCGACGTCGTGAAGAATAGGTTTCTTCAACAATAATAAATTATTGGGCGTTAACTTTCCGAGTTGATTTTGGTCGTCGTGAATTGGCACTAAAAGCTTGTCATTAAGTAGTCTTTCCACGTCAGTCAAGTAAGCGCTTAAAACTTCATAAGTCATATCTTGTTCATTGGATACTACACTCAAAATTCTTAAAACACTTATTAATCTCTCCTATGAAAAAGTAGATGAATTCACCTTAGCTCATAGGAGATCTACCATCCACACAAGTAAATGCAATAGTAACTTAGTGATTTAACTGTTCACCAGTTGTATGGATGTTTAAATTTCATTTTACTTACCTTGATTTGAGCGTCTATGTGATATCACTGTTCCCTTACTCTAAAAAATGTTTTGCTTGAAGCCGAAATCGATTTTACACTTCCATTAATTGAATACACTATTCTTTTCCTATTTTCTATACCGATTTCGTATATGATAGGTAAATGTACCAATGGATTCCCTTATTAATGAACTACCTCGTATTCTTGATGATATTCATAGTGCAATGTTTAACAAAGCGACAAAGTCATTAGCTAGTCATGTTATGCCTGTGAATAATATGAATGAATTATGTACAGCTTTGGATCAAAAGTCGCTTGCTTTAGCTCCATTTTGCTGTGATAGAGATTGTGAAGAGGTGGTTAAGCATGAATCAGCCAGGTATATTAGTTTCTACTTTAACTTTATAACTTGATTGTGTAATGTTTTAAAAGTTTTGTAGCCGAATAAATGGTTGTGATGTTTTTATTTGCAATGCGTGTATACACGATTTCATTATACATTATATAATCTAATACCCTCAATTTTTTCTACGACGTTTATAATCAAATATCTTACTGCACTTCTGTGTCAGATGGTAACTACATGTTTTGTGTGTTATACACGAACATAGTTGATTGATTTTTCAGGGATACATATATCCACTTTTTCATGTTACATATTTTTCTGATAATCTAGTAGTCCTATGTGAATCAGTTTGATCGATCATTCTTATTTTCATTAATTGGCAAGTGAATGTACAACCAGCTTATGTATGTTTCTGATTAAAGAATATAATTGTTATTCATAGTTTACATTATGGATTAACCTTAGTTAGACAACCATAAAAACCAGGAAACACTAGACTACTGTTTCGTTGGAGAACTAAACTCCTCACTAGTAGTAATATACCCACCACTCTATCAGAAATCAAACCCCAGGAAATGACCTTCAGATATCGTGATTGACGCTTAATCATGACACCACTTAGTCGTCATTTAATAGTTCACTTTTCAAAATTTATCATTTGTTCAATTCTTTCGATTTTCTCCAAATGTTACTTATGTCAAATTAGGGAATTAACTTCATTACATATTCTAGGTCAGTCTAAAGTTTTTCGAACTTCACTAAATAAAATTTAAGAATCTGTCAGTTCATTTAATTTCCTCTATCGACTAGCTAAGTTAAATTTTTTATTGGAAAATTACACATTATTGTTCGCACACCTTGTCAAATTTTTGCCATCATCGCTGAAATGTAGAAACTATGAATTATCTCATTACGTTTCCTCAATTAAATTATTATTCTTTATAATGCATATTTTCATTTTATATAAAACTATTCATTAAATGTCTAAAGTATATTTTATTCTGATTTTTCTAATAGAAATGTCATTGTTGAACCTGGTGCACCAGCTATGGGCGCAAAAAGTTTATGCATCCCGTTCGCTTGTGATTTTAATCCAACATTGGTTTGTGGTAGTCCTGTTCCTGATACACCATGTTTCAATCGCCAACATTGTTCTCGTAAAGCAATTTCTTATACATTGTTCGGTAGAAGTTACTAAGACCTAATTTACTTACACACATGTACATGTAAAAAATCCCTTTTCATTAAAATGAAAAACAATAATGTTCTGTCTTCATCTGAGCAAATAAACTCAGTTGGATCTCAATTCTTTTTTTATTCATCCTTTAATATTCAAGAAAGTCGGCCTAGAATTTCTAGGCTAGAGTATTATAAATCGTGAAAGTAATACATATTACACATATTTCTTAAGTTATAGGTCAAAGTGTGACGCTATCTAAAGAAAATTGAAGCACTCTACAGCTTTGTCTGTAATTTTGCTTGTCGACCGAAAGGAGCGGCTCGTTTCTGGTACAAATTATTACTAACATATATATGACATATATGGTAACATATATTCAAGTCCACCCAATATGAGAATCGAAGACATCTAAATATGAATTGACGAAGAGTCTATACAACAACTGCGAGCAGTTGTGACTAGAAAAACATAACATTTTATTGTATGTGCTTATGAAAGCAGGCTGGCTTATAAAATACAGTGGTTCGGGGCTTCTTGACTGAAAAAGTGAGGTTAGTGAAAACTATTCGAGACAGTCTACCTGTCCATAGCTACAATTCAGTTTCACCTCTATTTAGATATAACGTTAACTGCGCATTAACCTAAGTTTTTCATGCATTCTTATAAAGCACGTTCAATTTCTGTACCCATTTATAGTGATGCACGCGAAAGATATCCATCCTCACCATTCTCGTTCGTGGAGCTAGTTGGTTAGCTACTGTACTGATATTATGCCTAAAGTTCCCCAACAAACTTATGGGACAACCATATCAGGTGAAGACACCGACTACATCCAATATATCCTGAAGCAATTGGAAATTTAAGAATGCGTTATATGAATTCCGCCCTTTCGAAATGTAAGATTACCCTATCAAACTAGGGTTCACCAATATGTACTGTGAAAATATTGAGTGTAGTGACTAACTGTATAAATTACTTTAGCTTTTAGGAAGTTGTGATATACATGTCGTGCTGGTCGTCGACAAAACTACAACACAAGTACAAAAGACGCGTTCGTTATTTGCATAAGTATGTCGCGTACTACACTGTAAAATTTATATGAAAGTTCAAATTGTAATTATATTCTGCATATCATTTGTCTGAATAGTTTTAAAGATAATGTAGGCTTTCTAATTGAATTTCTAAATAAAATGAAGAAAAGTAGTACGAATTGAATAAAGACTCTGTAGAAAGTAGCTTCAATAAGTCAGTGGTACAAATATAATGTATTCTAGATCTTAGTAGTTGAATTCTTGAGTCGATTAAAGCTAGACCACCATGGAAAACCTGAAAGCACTGGACGGCCGTTTCTGTAATCGACTGATGAATCCATTTGTTAAATTAATATTATCTTCACAAAACCCCCTTTCTGATAATATTCTAGATCTACTTATCACTTTTCTGGTCTTCTATGTTTTCTTTCAACAATGTTTACTTGTATTTTTCAATCAATCGGAACATAGCTTGGCACACATGTGCAACGGTCCAATTCATCACATTACATCAATATAGCGAGATGCCATGATAGGTTAACTAATAGTTAGATCACTGTTAGTCCAGGAGGTTAAGCGTGGATGATATCATTCTAGAAGAAAATATATGTAGAAAACTGAGCAATTAAAGTGATTCATTAGCTTCACATCATTCTCTTAATTAATTAAGAATAATTTTAACGTAAATTCACTGGTATATAATGTATGTTTTTTTATGTACAAGGGAAAAAAGACGTCACAAAATAGTTGTTGTTGTTGGAATGGTAATAAAAGCTTGTTTTCACCATTAAATTACAACAATCAAATAAATAATGTAATAAAAATTTAATGAAAATATTTTCATTTCAGTGTCATATTAAAAACACGTTCTGCTTTCTTTAGACTTCTTGTCTTATAACCATTTGTAATTAAAGCGGATAATGTATCATTTATAATTAAATTTGTACTATTGTTTATTTGAGAGTTGTTATCTGTCATTGATGTATTCATTGTGTGAAGAACAGCTTCTGATAAACGATTATTCAAGCGACTCCTTAAAGAATCGATATTCTATAAGGGGAAAAAGTTAGAAAAAAAATAATCATATCAGAAAAGTAACCATGGGTACACCAGGTAACTTTTTAAAATCATGGATTATCTCGACTTGTGTATACTGATTTACACTCCACAGATTGTCCTTTTCCACTAGAAATATCAGCAATTCTATGTTGAAACTAAAATCGTATAGTTCCACAAATCGTCTGAAGATAAAAATATAAACCAGTATTACATGTGAAACATTTATGTATTGAAAATTTATGGATACACACTGCCAATTTGTTTGAAATGTCGGATCCATATGGTTGCGTATTATTATCTTTAGTTTACTACCAATAGATGTCAGTTCGTAATAGAAACTGTATTCCAATTAAAACAAAAATTATCTATAAATCATTAAGTAAGGTTTTGTCACAATAACGAAAGTTCCACACTGCAGATTTTCACTGAAAAATGAGATCAAAATTTACAAAATATTGAACAATTATCATGGATTAGAATGTGGTATATCAATTAGTTGAACTAACCGATTGTATCATTGAGTAAAAATAATAAAGGAAATTTTCTATTCGATGAAATCATTTACTTAAGATATATATTCTGTTATATTTGTTATTCATCTTTGCATTGGTTGTTTGAATCTTCCTAATGATGTTCAGGATTGTAATTCATCAGTCTCTTATTGGTGTACGTGCATCTTGTGTGGATTGTCTCGATATTACCTAAAATCACAAGCAGTGGGTTAGAGTCCCGGAGTGAACCAACTCTGGAATACAGGTATATATCCAGCTAACGAGTCCAAATAGGACGAAAATCGCGTTCTGGATTCCACTGCCAGCCACTATCAATCTCTGCTTATTCATATTTATAGTTGTTTATTAATTATCTCTCATAATTCTGACTCGTAAATTATTTTCATCCCTCTATTTTTCTCTAACCATTTGATTGCTACTTAATCCTTCTTGACAATTGAAATCTCGGATCACTTGGTGATGAAATCACTTCTATCTTTTTACTAATTTATTTACCAAACTTTTCTAAATGCTAATACACAAATTAAGGTAAATGGTGTCGTTGAAAAAATTTCTTCAGTAAATTCTCTATTTGTCGTATGTCTGTTTATAATTCGTCCAGTTAACATTTTAATATACTCAAACGGTTATGGATTATTTTTTTCTGTTAAGTGAGATATAGGGTTTTGAACGAACCATAATTATGTACTAAATAAAGCAATATATTTGTAATATCCCAATGAGTAGAAAAATTAGATTTTCTGACGTTTCGTGACTTAGTGTAAGACACTTCTTCGGAGAATTCTTTGAAGAAGTGACAATTATATTACTTTATTTATAACAATCTATCCAATGCTCAATTTATTCGAAATTATCATAATTATGTACGATATTCAATACCGTTGCTAGTGTTTAAGTTGTCTGATTCTTATTATTGACTGTAAGGGAGTATAGTATAATTATTTGTACGAGGCACTTAGGTTGAGGTTAGCTGGAACGACTTCAATAAGTGTGTTAAATTCAACAGATTTAAGTCCTGTTCCTCTTCATTTAGTAGGTGAGTGCTAAATATTTGAATGTGAATTTTACCGAGAATTTCATTTGAAGCATCTGTTATTATTTATAACCGATTGTAATAAAGATCGTACTAATAACGCAGTGCTTAATACAACACATTAAATATCGAATATGTTGTATTAGTTTTGATGTCAATGAGTTTCATAAACTAGATGATTTAATTTCCAAATTTCATTTTTGTAAAAGTCTTATACGAAAAGTATGAGACCGATAATTTTATCCATAACAACAATAAAAACTTCATAATTAAACTGTCTTGTTCCAAAAACTAAACATCAATAATATCAACAATTACAATTTTATTGTATCATAAGTTTAACATACTTTATTATTAATACGTAAATTTGTATTAGAATCCATTGAATTACTATCCTCTTGACAATCATTTGTTCTGCTAGTAAATAATTCTTCTATACGAGATGTAGAAGGAAAAAAATTAGGAATAAACATTGGTGTTAATTTTGAATTCATTGATAATGGTTGTTCTGTATCCCACCGACTAGTTTCAGCTAAATCATCATCTTTGTTCAATAATTTTGAGTTGTCAGAAAGTTCAGCACCATTATCATCATCGTCATCATTGTCTAGTTGAAGTATTTTTCCTTTTTCTATTTGTTTTTCCTCATTAACTCCGTCTTTATCCATTTTCTCTTCATTTGATCTGACAAGGCATAAAGTATATATATCATTGTAAATGCAATGAAAATCACAATGGATTAGCTAATATTCACTTAATAATAATAATAATAATAATAATCCTAGTGTAGTCAATTAGCATACAATTATACATTTAATTAATTAACATCATAATGATTATCATTGTAAATTTAATAAAGCCGAGAAACAAGCATGTGTATTGATCCAGTGTATCATATATCAAACTAGAACAGGTATTTAAGTCCAGCGAAAAAAATATGAAATGGTAATTAAACATACTTGTGAACTATTCAACAGAGCTCACAAAAAGCAATGAATTTAGAGAAAAGGTGCAAAAATTTACCATGATCGATTTCGACTTTATTTTCCTGTATAGTCCTTCAGCAACCAACGAACTATAGTTTGTGAGTGGATGGAGATGCATAGTGTTCATAACGTTTCAATTAATGAGAAGCCTTAACATCTCATTAATTAACTAAACACCATTTAATGGTAATATCATAAGGGATGAATCTGTTTAAAAAAAATACTTGTTAGATATTTTTCGCGATTGTCAAGTAATACAACGTGGATCGTTGGACAGTAACATTGCATAGATCTTTCAGCAATGATTTCAAAATTAAGACAGTAGTATTCCAAAGTATTTTGTGACAAGTACACAGGGTTACAGAAATATAGTTTACAATACGTATGTATGTTTCTGTCTGCGTTCAATAACTTATCATGAATCATTTGCACCGGATACATCAAAATAGATTAAGCCGGCAAAAATATGATCAGTTAGAGAACAAACTGTGATGTCATATACT